CCTTCCTGTAGTTGCAGTATGGCTGGGCTGCAGAGGCAGAAATACAATACCATAATAATTATTTTGGCTTTGTTAATACAGGAGCAAAGAATAATCATATTTTATTGGTGGGTGTTTTCTGATACATTTATAAGGAAAAGGAAATGCAAGATGAAAGGCTAGAAAGGGCTTCATGTTTTTTTGCAGCCGTCTAAGTAATTCATGACAGTTGATAAATATATATTGGACAGGTTATGGTGATTCCATAGTGTTCTTGGAGAGGAAATACCCAATATTATTGAAATTTCATCATTATCTTAGTGGATAAAGTGAAATGTAAGGGATGTTAAACATCTAGTGGATTTTATATTTCTCCAGATAAACCACATCAAAAACCCTTCCCTCCTCCTCCCCCCCCCCCCCACAAAAAAAAAAAGAAACCTCGGCACATGCCTACTCTAATAGCTCCAGCTGTGCGCTGTGTTTCAGTACAACATCACAACTGGTTTTATTTTAGCTGACCAACTAAAGTGTAGCAAATTACCTGCTTTGCCCTCAGTGGCAGCATTGAAAGGATGTGTTTTTTCCTGCGAAGCTGCTGACTTTTATAAAACTTAATTGTCTTTGAGACCTCTACTCCTCTTTCAGACTTTACTGCAATTGACTAATAGGTTCAGAAGTTATTAGGGAGAGGATGGTGAGACACAGCAATTGCTTAAGACTCATTTCTTTAGGAAACTAGAATAAAAGTGAGAATCCAGATTCAGCCAGAAGTTCCATCTTTGAATCACATTGGGTTAAATACTGGTTGCACTGAAGATGATGACAAAGTGTCACAGTTCTAATAATGCTTGGATTCACCCTTTCTTTTTAGTTGTCCTGCTTTTTTTTTTTTGTATGCTGTGGTGAGTGGCTAAGAGATGGCCAAAGTTAGGTAGGTTAATGGTAAGGAGTTTGCAAAAGGTAGTCACAGAGGTCTGTATATTGCTTGTAGGTTTAAATTACGTTATGCAGGCTTTGTATTTGTTTGGCAGGGGACTCAAAGGTCTATAAATCAAAAACTAGTGAAAATTGATATGGAGGCTTCATTTTAGACTGACAGTAGACTGATTTTATTCTCTAGGGGCGAATTCATCAAATAGAATATGCCATGGAAGCTGTGAAACAAGGCTCAGCTACTGTGGGGCTGAAATCAAAAACGCATGCTGTTCTGGTTGCTCTAAAGGTAACTTTAAAACTGTGTTCTGGGGACAGCAATGTTAGCAGAGTAGTTTTAGCTTGGGAAATTAGTTTTGTCCGGTCTGAACTTTTATGCTGTGTATAATGTACTTTGTAATCCCATTTTCCTTATGCTTGAATACCAGTGTAGAACTATACGTATTTTCAATACTTGTGCTAAACAGGTCTTCACAGATTGGTGGAGTGAAGGAAATTGGTGAAAGGTTTTTAACTCAAAAGCTAATTGGTCTTCTATTCTTTTCTTCAGTTATTAAGTAGTAAAACTACTTCTTTTCTGTCACAAAAGTTGAGTGAGTGTCCCTTCTTTCTTTCTTTCTGACAGTCTCCTATTGAAGTAGGATTAGATTTTTCTTGTTTTCTGTTACAAGTTTATAGCTTTATTATTATTGTTTCATGATCATATTCAGTTCTTGCCATAAATGCTAGTGGATTTCTTAACAGTGACTGGCAGTCTGTTCAGTCTGCCACATAGCTTTTTCTTTTCATGCATAGAGAGCACAGTCTGAGCTGGCAGCTCATCAGAAAAAAATCCTGTATGTTGACAACCATATTGGTATCTCAATTGCTGGACTTACTGCTGATGCAAGACTCCTGTGGTGAGTGTCTTAGTGGTTGACATATAGAGTTCTGCAATAATAATGAAGTGAAAGTTCATTTGTAGACTATTGCAAATGAGATTTTTATGATCAGCTAAGGATTAGTCTTGAGTTACTGCTCTCTTGTATTATGCCAAAGACCTCAGCAAGAAATTCTTTTTTTTTTTTTTTTTAAGTCATTGGCAGAAATCTAATTTGTTTGGCCCAAAATTTTGCTCTTTGTTTTTGATACTAGTAAGAGAGTCCTCTGTCTGGTTTCCCCAGTGCGATGGGATTTCCAAGCAGCCTGAGAAAGGGTGTCACGTTTTTCCCTCTTGTAGATCCTTCTGTATACGTTTAAGAAAGTTACTAAAAACATACTGCTGTATACATAAGCTTCAGAGGAGTTTACCTTTTGTCTGCTGGATACAGAGTCTCAGGAGATGAGGTAAATGTCTCCTAGGAGGAGAGTTCCTCAGCTTTAGAGGGAAGGACAGAGAAGGTGTAGGAAGAATCTGAAAAAAAAAATCGCTGTTACAAAGAAATGAAAGAAATGTTGCCATCTACATGTGACTTTTTTTTTTTCCAGATGACCCTTCTATAGCCTGCATGAACTTCTACCTTCCCTTCATTTGTATTGCTGAAATAATACAATAATCTTTCAAGCCTGTGGTTAGTCTTCTAAATAACAATTATAGGTCATGATGAAATGAAATCATGTAGTGCCTTTGACCCTTTTTCTTAACAAGCAGAGCTGAAAAATATATTTTAACAGACAAATATTGAGACAAAATCTCATTGCGACTTTCACTATGCATTGGTTTGATTTTTTTTTCCCCCTCTTTCCCCCCACCCCCCATTTCTGTGACCCCCTCACTCAGCAATTTCATGCGTCAGGAGTGCCTGGATTCCAGATTTGTGTTTGACAGACCTCTTCCAGTCTCTCGCTTAGTGTCACTAATTGGAAGCAGTATCCTTTTGTTTGTTTGTTTGTTTTGCACTTGTTAAACTTTTACAGTTTTTTTTTACACTTGTTCATACTTGTTCTTAAAATGTTTTTTATATATCACAACTTAAAATTAATTAACTTTATAAATTTAGCATGAAAGTTAGTTTCTCTTTATTCATACTGCTTGCTTGTCCTTTTAAAGTATACCTTGTAACACGCTGAATTGGTAGAAAAGCAACAAAGTGCTATGCAACATTTAACATGGTGCTGCTTTTTCTGTTACATAGCACTGCCTTTGGAGCGGGGTGGGGGGGGGAAGATAACTACACGATTCAAGATATCATCACTTACTGGATTGCAGCGCAGCTACTCAGATTTACTCAGATTTTTTTCTGTGGCGGCTTTAGTTGTCTCTGCATGGAACACAATGGTGCCCTTGTATTCTGATATCAAGTGCCCACAAAACGTTCAAAGGGAAAAGAAATTAAATGAGGCTGCGCAGCGTTAAGTGAACTGTTTGTGTTACTTGGTTGAGTGCACCACTCACTTCTTTTGGGAAAGTTAGTTGCTAAATGTTTTTTGGTGAAAAAGAGCTAGTGTTGGTATTCCAAATAAGCCCTGTGATCTATTTCTTCAAAGAAATTCCTGTTAGTGGGGGGGAAAAGCTGTATTACAACTTTGGTGCATCTCTGCTTGGCTTAGGAAAACGTTTTAGGTAATTAACATGTTTTCTTGAGAATGCTTCCTTAGCTTGCTTAAGAAACCCAGATACCAACGCAGCGTTATGGCAGAAGACCATATGGTGTTGGTCTGCTCATCGCAGGTTATGATGTAAGTATAGCGTGCCAGTTACTGTTGATGGAAAAAAAAAAAAAAAAAGTGGTTAATTCACTTTTATACAAGTAAATGTTAAGAGGGACAGATAGAAGGAAGAGGCAAACTTGTCAAAATTCTGATTAAGGAATCATTTTCTGCATCTTACCCTAAAACATAACTTTTATAAGTTTTATAACTTTTATAAATGGTAATTGGTGGCTAATCCTACTTACACTTGTAAGGCATGCATTTGCAAAAATGAAAATATAATTATTTTAAGGTGCAAAATGAGATGCTGTAGCAGGACATGAATTTCAGAAGTGTTTGAAGGGAGGGATTCCTACACTGAAACACTATGAAAAAATGGATCTTCTGAAATGAAGTTGCAATGATCTTTGTGTTTTAATGTCACTTTGTGTTTCTGTGCAAAACTGCAAACAGTAGACTTGTTCATTTTTTCAGGGATCAAAATGTTAATGTTTATAAGCTGAAGTGAGTCTTTGATAGCGGTAATTATTTTACTAGTGGTTATGGATCTTTAACAAACTATTGTTTTTAAATACTCTAAGAGAAATGGATGTGGAAAGCCTCACTGGACACACTCTTACTTGTTTTTCAAGAATAGTTTACTTACTATGGTACACAAAGAGAATCACTGCGCTGAAGATATTTCGCATGAAGAAGGTTGAAGGAAATGGGCAGCTTGCTTGAAATCTGGCATGACATGCTTAAATCTACAGCAGGTTTTTACACTTGCACAGATCAGACAGAACGTGTGTGAAATATTTAACTGCAAGCCATGAGGTGGGAAGCATATGTATGCATGGTACAGCTTATGGAACAGAGAAAGAAAGATTTTTGGTGCCTGCTATCCTACCTGCATAAAAATTATGTTTCAAATAACAAAGTATGAAGGAGGATTGTTGTTTGTTTGTTTGTTTGTTTGTTTATTTATTTATTTATTTAGAATAAGACTTGAAGCAATTGGTAAGAGCAATGGTATGATAAACAATATAAAATATATCTGTGCTTAGACATAAGCTATGTGATGTATCATGAAGCAAATCTTTGTTTTAGGAAAAAAAAACATGTATTGTTTTTGTTTGTTTACTTGTTTGTTTGTTTTCCCTTTTGGTAGGATATGGGTCCTCACATCTTCCAGACCTGTCCTTCTGCAAACTATTTTGACTGTAAAGCAATGTCCATTGGTGCTCGTTCACAGTCAGCTCGAACTTACTTGGAGAGGCACATGACTGAGTTTACTGACTGTGAGTAATGAAACTCTGTCTATCTGATGGTCTTCATCAGTTGCACAGTTTTTTTTCGTGCTATTGCTCCATCCTTTTGTGTTTAGTAAAATGGGAAGATAAACTTTGGGAGCCAAGTTTAGTGTAAGTGTAAATCTGCATGAAGACAATAATTGTAAAGAATACATTACAAATCTTCATTTCTAACATCTGGATTTTTGTTAGATCTAATGAAAAAGAAGTTTCTGTTCAGAGGCTGAGAAAAAAGTACAAAGGCTCCATCCTGTGTAACTCAGGGAAAGAGCAATTCTTTGTATTACAGAGAAGGCATAATATTTCAGGATGAGTCTCTAGGTTGTGGATTTAAAATCGCAAATTTGTTTTTATATGAACGTTATTTGGAGGCTACTGTGTGTCTGGTTGGGGAAAAAATAGCTTGAGTATCACTGCACTGAAGACAATGCAGGTGCCAAAAATGGATGCATTTGGCCTCAAGTGTAAGGAAAGGCTCACTTCTTGAAGTATACTTTGATAACCAACTCTATATTCAGTACCGGAAATACATAAGGAGCGCAGTTCTGGAAGTCAAAATAGCCAGGTTGATTTTTCTAGTTGTCAACTGGGAATAGGAGGAAGGGCAAAAGAGTCTCAAGAGACTCAACTGTATTATTTCGTAAATGTCTTTCTAATTGCGTTTAATTTGTAGGTAATCTAAATGAGCTAGTTAAGCATGGACTGCGTGCCCTGAGAGAGACTCTTCCTGCCGAACAAGATCTGACCACCAAGGTAAATACTAGGATGTTTTTGTTTTGTTTTTGTTTGTTTTTGTGTGTTTAAGAAGAAATTTTACTGCCATTGTTATTAGAAATTGCTATGACAAAATTAATGTAAAGTATGACTGGCACTGAAATTTGGAAGCCAAATAGTGGTGGAGAGCGTCATCTCCGTTTCATATGTGACAACTTTACCTACAGCTTCATCTGTAATTTTTTTTTGTTTGTTTGCTTACCATAATAAAATGATACTTTTGTCTAAGTAAGGCATCATTTTCCTGGCTGCTTGCGTGAAATATTCTATTTTAAGGTTTGATCAGTGTTTAAGATGCATTGAACACAACTGGATCATCACTTTGCTTTGTAAGCCCAATCAGCAATTGGAAAGGACTGGAAAGGAAGGGGGGAGTTGCCCCTTCAGTCAGAGCACAGCTATGCAAACAGTTGATTGAGCATCCAATACCAAAAAGATGCAAAGCCTCTGCCAGGAAATATGAACTGACCAACTCTTGAACAAGAAACTTCTAAGCAGATCTCTTACCAAAAGTTAGTGTTATGTTTGTGTCTGATCTGCCCTTATCTGTGTTTAAGATTTTTACTCTTAGCCCATCTTGTTTTGTTAGAACTTTTACGATAAGGAAAAGGGAGGGGGGAAAAAAAGATGAGAATCAGTGATTTTGAAAAATCAGGTATTTGTTATTTAAAATAAAAAATAGAAATTGAAATCATTGAATAGTGATTTTACTGGTAAGATCTCAAAGCATGATAGCTTTTGTAGGGAATAAATCTCCCTCTCTGCCTCCCTTTCCTTTTCTAGTACAACCTACCAAAAAGGGAATCTCGGAATTCCTCTCTTCCTTAAGTAGACACAATAGCAAAGTGAATCCCTTTATCACAGGAGGAAACTTAATGGCTTTACAGTTTTCACTTGTGAAACAGATTCAAGTTATTTGCAGAAAAACGTGTCTTACTTCTTTCAAAATTTTCCTTAACAGAATGTTTCCATTGGAATTGTGGGCAAAGACATGGAGTTTACCATCTATGATGATGATGACGTAGCACCATTCCTAGAAGGTCTTGAGGAGAGACCACAGAGAAAGGTTTGTGTTTTATATACAAATAAAGAGGCTTTGGTGAAAGGCAACATTTTGTGATGTATGACCTATTATGTTTAGGACATTTAGCTTTCTTAGTGTAGCAGGGTTTTAGGTATGCAGTTTTAAAATTTGACATTGCTACATGAAAACAGGAGGCAACATATCATCTTTGTCTAAAGACTGAAGCTGGAGGCTAAGCTGCTTATTAAATCAGTTTACGATAAATTGGCAGAAGGCTTTTCCAATGTCTTCATCTTCTTTCCTTATTTAAGATTACTTTTTTTCACTTTCTTGTAGCAGAAGTGGCTACATATGTTCCTGGTGTCTGTCCCAAGATGCCTCCTCAAGTCTTCTAATTACCAGCTCTATCCTTCTCCATGCTTGATTTATATAATACTGCTTGTAAGCTATTTGTTTATGTGAGCTACTTTTACCACTTGTGATACTCAATCTAGTGTAAAGCGGATATGCTAGGTACTGTTTTCTTCCCTTCTATAATATGTTTTTTTTTTTTCTTCTCTTTAAGCCTGCTCCGCCCGCTGATGAATCTGCGGAAAAGGCAGAGGAGCCCATGGAGCACTAGTTGATGGATGAATTCTGCTGTGTGTTTACCTATGTATAATTATACAGGAACATATATCCACCTGCTGGTAACCTTTATCCTGACCTATATGCGTCTTCTACTGACACATTCTGAGGATTACGCTATAAAAACAAACAAACAAACTAGCCCATCTATCCTTAAATGGTAGGATAGTTGGACATATTTTCTTTGACAAGAAAGGTGTTACCATTTTCTAAATAGTGCACAATACTGTTTTTTTAATGAAAAGCATACTGTCTTTAACTTGTAAGGACAAGTGGAAATAAATCTTTCTTGGAATGTACTGTTCATTTTTTTTTAAATCTGAAGAAATAGCTACTCAAATACTACTTTCATACAATCAATGTGCTCTCAAGATGCAATCATGTACTATTTGTCACATTGAAACAGTAACTGATTTGTGAGCCCTCGGTTGCTTTATATAAATATAGTGCTCATGAAGTATTGCACTGACAGGACTTTGAATCCCTCTATTTACAAAGTAGTCCTAGAACATGTAGGATGCATCAAGCTTCCGCCTGTTTTATTGTGGTTGTCTCACTCGTGACTTGGACAGACATTTCTAATTATGAGTGTTTACTGGAATTATTGCAGACAGAATAAGCATGAAGCTGCCAGTAAGCTTTTTCAGTTGTGTTTTTTAATAAACCTCAGGTCTTTCAAAACTGAAATGAATGACTTCATTTCTTTAGGGCCATCAAACAGCCATCAGGTAGCCAAGGGCTTTTTTAGCTCACTAATGCATGCGCTACATGTAAGTAATGATGGAAACATATTAAATTGCCCTTTCAGGTCCCCTGACTTATCTAGTCTCTGTATTCCTTCTTGGTTTTGTCACTTTGGTTTGTGCTATAGAGTCTACCCAAGGACTCTGTTTAGTGACAGCTTGGATTTAAGTTCAATGTCACAAAATTTGATTGCATTTGCAATGCAATATGCACATATTGCATTTTCTGTACTCCATTGCTATTAGTGATCAGCTTCAATGAAGATTTTTCTTCCAAGTGTCATGCACGCACATCATGCGAACGTTAGACACTTTAATTGGGTTTTATTACACTAATAGCAGTTGAAGTGAGAAGAGTAATTTCCCATTTATAGCAGTGGCAGCAGTCTTACTGAAAAGAGATTTCTTTAGCGATGTCTCCGAGGGAAGCCCGTGTTTCAGGTAGAGATGCAAAAGACATTTGAAGCTACAGTGTGATAAACAAAGTGAATTTGGCGTTGTTTTTCCATTGTAAACGTCCGATGCATGTATTGATGTAGAAGCGGGGCAGGCTGAAGGAGCCCGGCCTGGCCTTCGCCTGCCCCCGTGCTGCCTGCCACCGTGCCACCTGCCCAGGCTGTCGCAGTGGACGTGCTTAGCTCTGCAGCGTCACCCTATGGTGCATATGACGTCACGGCGCTGACGCAATGGCGAGCGGGCCCCGGCCGGCCGCGCGCTCCTCGCTCCCCTCCCCCCGGCCTTCCGCCCGCGCTTCCTAGCGAGCAAGCGGTGACG